AAATTGATTCTACGTTGTGGTTGAGCTTAAATGCCAACCGAAGGAATCGGGACATCTTGAAGGCATTGGGAAACCACAGAAGGTTTCTGTTGTTGTTTAGGGGTGTGGGTTTGGTTAGAGAGAGAAGGAAATGTGATATATACAAGATGCTGCTTTTTGGATGATTCATCTGACCAGGATGTGTGATGGATGAGGATGGAGAGAGAGAGAGAGTGCTGGGGTCTAGGACTGCAGTGGATTTGGGGAGGAGCTGAGAGCCTGGTCTAAGGCTACTAGCCTGTAACCTACTCTCCAGGCTGTGTGAGCTACACCTTTCCATATCTCATCTCAGTTAATCTTCATAATGCCCTATAAAGTAGGCATCTGGCTCCATCTTACAGATCAGGAAACCAAGATCACACGAGGTCCAAGGTCACATAACCAGTAAATGGCACAAGTAGGATTTAGCTCATGTTTTTCCTGACTTCAAAATCCATGTTCTTTTTACTATAACACATCAGCCTTTTGTTTATAAAAATGGTTAATAATAGCACTGACAGAGGACATGGAAGGGGACCCTATCTAGAACTCAGTTATCCTTGCAACCTCAGAGACCTTATGGTGTACCATGATTGCATGAGTAACCCCATATCCTATTATTTCCCACTTGGGATGTGGGGAGTAAAAACCGTTCCATGCTGTAAGAGTCTCCCTCAGTGCTAAGTCTTGTGATCACAGTGAGTAGCGAAACATGTTTCAGGTTTGTGGGAAATTGCAAAGGACAAGACAGAAATCATAAAGATGCAATTGAATTACATTGTATCGTGGCCCCTGGGATAACAGCTGCTTTCCAGGTCTACAATTGTTCTCTTTAAGGAAATTAAAAACTCGAAGCTCCCCATCCACAGCCTTGCGCTACTCGGCCACGACCACGTGATGACAGGAAGGCCTGTGTTTGTACAGGTGGGGCAGAGAGCAGCCTCGCAGAGTGGGTGGCTGGAAGCGCTGCCCGGGGCACAGGTGGGGTGTCCGAGGAAAAGCAAACCCAGGAAGAGGCTGTGTGTTCTGGTGCTGTCAGCTTCCCTCTGCAGGGGGTGGCGTGCTGCTGGGTCATCTCAGGGCCAGATTCGGCTAATGGTTTGGGGGATCTCTCTACACCAGCAGATGCAGAAGGATTTGGTCCTGGTATGAGGTCAGTTTCCCTTTCCAAGCAAGTCCTGAAAGATCCCCCACAACATGATACCTCTGTATGCAGCTAAACACAACCCGAACTAAACAATATGCTTTTTGAGAGCACATAGAGGAATGTCATGTATTTTATAAAGATGCTTGTTTAAAAGCAAAGGGACTGAGCAACACGAGACTCAGGATAGTGACTCCCTCCAGTGTGGAGTTCAGGGAGGCAGGGGGCCAGGGCAGGGGACCACACAGATGGAGGCACGGCAGTGACAATGTTCTAGTTTCTGAGTTGGGCAGTAAATTCAGGGGAGTTGATAAAATTATTTAAAACAAACAGATCTCCACATAAAACACAGAGGGGTGTGCCTAGACCGATGATGAGAGTGTGTCACGAACCAAAGATTATAATTAATCAGTTTCTGTCCAACCAAGGTGCAAAAGGAAAGAGAAAACAAAGGGAGATGTGTGTGGGACATCTAGACTCCCCTCTCACCTGCTCCTGCTATTTGGGGCCTTCTTGGCACGTGGAGCTGCAGACCACACATGTGGAGAGGGTGTGGGCCTCGATGGAAAGACTGAGGCAAGGACAGAGATAGAACTTATTTAAAATGAATATCCAGAACAGTAATACTATCAGACTATGTTGGAAATGTAGATGCTAGTTGCTATCGTTTCTTCAATTAAGGGACATTTAATATCAAAGAGAAAGTCAGAAAACTGGAATTTGGGGGCCTGACCTGCAACTACACAGTTTTGTAATATCAAGAAATTAATTTCCTTCCTAGGAGCCAGAGTAATTCAAGTGTGCTTTTTATGGTTTCTCTTCCCCTCTCCCTTCCCCTTCCCCTTCCCCTTCCCCTTCCCCTTCCCCTTCCCCTTCCCCTTCCCTTCCCTTCCCTTCCCTTCCCTTCTCTCCCTTCCCTTCTCTCCCTTCCCTCCCTTCCCTCCTCTTCTCTTCCTTTCCCCTCCCTTCCCTCCCTCTCCCCTTCCCTCTCTTTCCCCTTTCCATCCTTCCCCTATCCTCTCCTCTTTTCTCTATTCCTTTCCTCTCTGTTCCTTTCCATTTTGTTTCATTTCACTTTCTTTTCTAAACTGAAGCATCCCTTACACTCCCCAAGAACACAAGATGTTCCAAGTTTGGGCGGGATGCGCTCCAAGTGACCTCTGGCTCAGAACCCCTGCTGCTGCCTCAGTGCAGCGGGCCGGGACTGGCAGTCAGGGCACCAGGCAGCTGCCATGCGATCCAGCTGGGGTTCAGCATACTCTTTGGGGTCATTCTGATACTTCCTATGCCTTATCTTGTTTCCCTCTTTGAAATTAAATATTTAATCTCAACTTTTCTGTACCTTAAATGTTTGAAACACCAAGCTGGAACCACTGAAAGCCAGAGGAAGAGAAAAGAGAAAGAGGAAAGAAACAACACCAACAAAGACAAGGGGATTAAGATGAATGTGAATTTATGGCAATCTGAGAAAAGCCAGGTGACCACAATTAAAATGAAACCATGTATCTTCAAACGCGTTCTCTGAGCTTTTCTCCCGGTTAAGTTCATAGGATCACAATGTGCTCCCGGTGAGGCGGGCAACATTCATAATGTGACTTAGAAGGAAAAATTAACTCAACAGAAAATGGAGTGGGAAATATTTATGTGCCCAGAAGTATGTTAGGTCCAGGGACAAAGAAATGAGCAAGCCACACAGTGTCCCTGCCCTGAAGCACCTTACATGAGGGAAACAAGAAACAACTGCATATAAGTAAACATGTACCATAAGCCGGGCAGAGACAGGCACTTCAAAGAAGGACTGACCCAGCGCATGCAGAATAGGGGTGGCGCTGGGGTGGGGCCTTGGTGCCTTGGACATGGTGGTCAGAGAAGGCTTCTCTGCTGGGGAGACGTCTGACCCGAGCCCGGAGTGGAGGAGAGAAGCAGCCGGGCGTGTCTCCCAGAGGAGCCTTCTTGGCTGAGGGCGGGGGCATCGCCGCCGGATGTCTGAACAGAGAGGTGTTGTTCCTGGCCCGCTGGAAGGCAGGCCGAGGCTTGTGTGGCTGGAGTCAGAACCCGCTAATGATCTCCAGGGCCCAGTGCAAAATGATGACAAAATGAAAATGCAGGGCCCCTTGTTCAAAAATTATTAAAACTTTTGAAAGGGCAACAGTAGAGCTTGGACCAAGTGGGCTAATTGGAAGGCCTTGTAACCATTCGCAGGGACCTTAGATCTTACAACAAGTGCAACAGGAAGCCATTGGCAGGTTCTGAGCTGGGGAGCAGCATGGTCCAACATGCGTCTAGAAGGGTCTCTGACTCCTGTGTGGAGATAAGCAGGGGGAGATCAGGGTGACAGCAGGGAGGCCAGTGAGGAGGCTCCATGCAGGTAGCTGAAGAATGGCGACAATGACAACAGTGACAACTCAACGCGGTGCCTCCCTTTTGTCATAACTGGAGACAGCGCTGCCCTCACCACCCCTCGCATTCGGCATCCTCTGTGTGTTCTCTGGCTCCAGTGATGAATGAAACTGCTCTTGAGGCTGGAATAGATGTGGGTAATGTGCTTAAAGAACTTTATTTGGCAGAAAAAAAAAAAAAAAAGAATGCCCTTACTTCAACTGCTGTGACACAGGTGGGGATGGAAAGTAGAAGGAACAGAAATGCAGACTGCAGAGAGAGTCTATCCTGCAAGTCCCTGGTCTGGAATTCCACTTTACTCTCTTTAAAGGAAAAGGAAAAGGAAATTCCTAAGGGCTTAAAGAATGTCTGCCGGTGTCTCCCACAGGTGTCGCAAGAGAGGAGGCTCGGAGCTCTAACTGAGCCAGCAAGAAGGGCGGGGCTTTGAGGCACAACCCATAGGTGGCCTCCGCAGGATGCAACGGCATGGTGGGTGGCTCACCGGTCCCTTCCTAGCCGCGGAGGGGAGCCCAGGAGGCTCCACCTCTGAACAACAGACTTCGAAGGAGCTGTGGGAGGGAGATCGAGGATACTCCTGCCTGAAAAAGGAGACAAAGGTGGTAAAAAAGGAAAAGGAAGAGGAAAGAAAATGAATGGATAAAAATAATTTGGTCTATCAATACAACGGAATAATACTCAGCAAGAAAAAGAAATACATTAATAATAAGTGGAGGAAGTCAGACAGAAAGCACATACTGTGGGATCCCACTCATAGGACATTTTAGAAGATACTGACTAATCTTTAATAGCAGGAAGCAGATTAATGAGTGGTGGCCAGGGGTTGAGCAGAGCAAAGATGAGTAAGGAGGAGGCATGCGCTGGGGCTGCTGGCTGTTTTCATTATCTCCCTTGTGCTGATGGTGTCATGGGTCAAAATTTATCATATTGTACAATTTAATGTATGCACTTTATTGTGCTAACTATATTTTGATAAAGCCACAAAAATTTTTTTATAAAAAATAATGGAGGGGGATTAGAATTAGCCAGGCGCTTACTGAACCGCAGAGGCACTTTCCCATGGCTTTGTGCCTGTTCACAGCAGCTTTGTATCACTACCTGTATCTGTGCAGTGCAGGAAGGGGTCAAGGAACTTGCCCAAGGCCACTCATTTAGAAGCAGAGGAATGAGGATTCAAAGCCAAGCTCACATTTTTTTCCATCTTGTCAAAACCATGACAGTGGTGGTTTTAAAAAATGGCCACATCTCCCCCTCCTCTCATTGACTGCCCCCCTTGAACCTGTGTGGGCTTATGACTGTTTCAACCAATAAGTATGACGAAAGCGACCCTATAGAACTTCCAAGGCCAAAAGCAGCTTCCATCTGGTTCACCTTGGAACCTTGGCTCTTCAAATGCTTGCTCTTAGGATGTTCCCTCTTGGAACCTGCCAGCCATGCTGTGAAAAGCTCACACCACCTGGAAAGGCCACATACTGATGGGCACTCTGGTCAACAGTCCCAGCCCAGATCAGAAGCCAGACGCGCAAGAGAAGATGGCGCCATCTGGAAGGTGGATCCTCTGGCCCCAGCGGTTCCAGCCTTCCCAGCTGAGACAAGCCATCTCTGGTGTGCCTTTTCCAATCTCTCAACCCACAGAATCTGTAAGCATAATATAACGGTTGTTATCATACACCACTAAATTTGGCATAGCTGATATGCTAGGCAAGTAGACTAGTAATTTTGCCTTGGGCTGACTTGATGGTGCAAATGGATCTAAGATCACATAGGAATGAGCAATATGTGCTATGGGTTTGGAATATATTTACCATAGAAACAACAAATTAATCCTTCATTTGTTATCAATCCTAATCCAGTTTTACAGAAGTGTTATGTAGTCTCTTAAATCCTGTCATTTAATAAGAGGTTCCTGAGCCAAACAACCATATCTCTGCGGCTTATGTAAGATCATTAAAGGCTCCTTTTGACCAATAATTCCATGTAGCTCTGTAGTATGTAAAGTCATTTGGAATTACAGGGCAAGTGACATTTCTAAAGCAATGGCTGGTGGAACAATTTTAAACCAGAGCATTTGAATAACTTCAATTATTTTCAAGAGTAATATGTTTTAGCCTATATTTCTTATGCAAGAAGACTTGATCAAGTTTATATTTATTCAGATACCCAAACCATGTCCCAGATTACATTTGAAAATTTCTTTGAGGGCTCTATGTATTACATAATTTGACAAGCACGATACCCTCTAAACCTAAATAATTAATGTCTTTACTCTCAAAACCCCCCTCAGCTGAAAATACATTGTACTGAAAATAAAATGATTGCATCATCTAAATTCAATTATTTGTAGCATTCTGTAAAAGTTCGTGAACATAGAGAATGAGCTCTTGCAACTTGATCTCAGGGTATCTGCAACAAGACTTGAGTATGTAGCTGCCAGGGTGCCCTCCTGCCAGGAAGTCCAACCACATGTCCGGGACTTTGTCTCCAGGCTTTTAGCATGCCAAGGTGGGACAGGGCAGCTTGCTGTTTCTGGGGGGAAATAATTCTTGAGGAATAATTTTTAAGGGGGGAAATTCAGACCTTTTAGACAGAGCTTGGGAAAATATCTGGAGCAGAATTAAAAGAAAGGAGAATGTGTAATAGCTAAAGGGAGGTGTTTGGCAGGAGCTGAGAATTAAGACAAGAGTGAGCGCAAAGCAGTGCATTGATTGTGAAATGACACCAAGAGCTCTGAATACTCTTGTCACCAACTGTGACTATCTTCACGAATCCCTATGGCAACGGCTGCATGACTCTCCTGGTAACCTTCTCTCAAGGGTCCTTGTATTGCACAAATCCATGTTCCTGGTGGTGCTATGCCATACCCATGAGCTCCAAATTCCTTTTGTGAGTGCATACTAAGGATTGGGCAGAAACCCACATGAAAGACTTGGGTTACTGCAGTGATAAATCTTGTGGAAGATTAAATGGCTCTGATGACTTCCATGCCGCCATCTGGGCTGTGGTCATTTTGAAAGTTAACTCTTTGCTTGTTTTAATTGGTGTGGCTAGCATTGCTTGTGTTGTTAGATTAAAAATAAAGCAGGGAAAACCCACCCCACTGCCACAAAGCTTAGGGTGTGTGTATGGCTAGAGGTCTGCTTTGTGAGCTTGTCGGGAATGAATCATCAAGCTACTTAAAGCCAGAGGCTCCAGGAAATCTAAACATTTGATAATACTTGTTTTTGTTTAATTTAGTGAAGCAAGGCTAAGTAATCAAACCTTCTGCCATGCACGAGGTGGGCAGCCTTTTATAAAAACAGATTGTCCTCAAGGTTCCAAAAACACCTGGGTGACCATGCTGTTCCCAGATCTACTGTGGTCTGCCTTCCAGTAAGAAGCACAGGTGCAAGTCAAGTTCAACTAGGTTGAAAGCTCACTGAGGGTCGTTACTGCATTTCACACAGTTCTGTATCCTCCTATAGTAAGCGCGTGTGTGAGGTCCAGCTGCCCAGAAACAACTCTCTGAGACGAGCACTGTGTGGGAGGGGTTTATTAAGGAACTGCTTTTGGGGGCAAAGATCAGGAGTGAGGAAAGCGGGACGGTGAAGCCAGGTGTTACCTCAGGCTGTGTCCCGTGCGGGGTGGTGTCCGGCCTGATCCTGCAGGGATCCTGGAGTGTAAGTTACACCTCAGAGTTTGTCCCAACTGGTAGCAAAGGCACTGAGCTTTCATATTCTCCAAGCATAGCATCATTGGGAAATACAACCACTAAAGATTCTCGGGTGGGAATATAATCCGGGCGGGGCCCAAGACTTGGAAACCAATTTGTGAGCTAATTTATTGCCATCTGCCACACAGACATTCAAATATGGCAAAGTGTGAGCAAGATTCCGGACTCCAGTGAGGAACCCGTGTTCCAAATGCTGAGGCCTTTCCACCTGCTCCTCTGCCCCCACCCTTAAATCAAGCTGTTCTCCATAGGCTGGACTGAGAAAGTTGTGCATGTCCTAATTAGCCAAGAAAATGATGCTCCTTACATTTTTAGCTATCATTATTGCTTTTCATCACAATAACTCTCCTCTCCATGGTACTACAAGAAAATCAGAAAAAATCAATTGGATCCGATCTCTATTGGATGGCTAAGTTTTCATTAATTCAGCTACCTGGGCAACAGAAATCTACCGTGTGCCTTCCTCGTTCCAGGCATCATGCTAGGTTCTGGAGAAACAGAGTGACAAAATACATAGTCTGTACACGAGTCGACGTCCCTGAAAGAAAGGCTGGGAAGCATGGAGGGAGACCCGAGCCTGGAGAGGTGAGCAGGGGCCATCTGGGAGCTTCTTGAAAACCATGCTAAAGACAAGGAATTTTCACTGGTTGTATTTTACAGGGGGGCTCTCTGCCTCTTAAAATATTATCAGTGTCCTAATTTTCCCTCCACCCCATCCTAGGAGACTTGGGGATGCAGACATATTCAGACACTTCCCTCTCCAGCTCCAAATCACAATTTTCACATAACTACCCCACATCGGCATGGATTTTATAGAATTTGGTGATTATGTTCTTTTAGGGCTACTGTCTGTTTTTCTTGGCCTTCTCCTGAATATTTTGAGCTTCTGGGCATATGACATTCACATAAAATAGTAAAGGGTTGGGTTAATTTTTTTTTAAATCAGCAGTGTTGTAGCAATATTAATCCCTCTTTTGTAACACGAGTTATTATATGCAAGCTTTTATTATTGGTGTGGCATTCTTAAATTCCTTTATTGGCCACATCTTGGGGTTCACTATTTTGTATGCAGTATTTTATAATTGAAAGAGTACAATCCTTAAAAGGAGAGATACAAGCTCTAAGAATGGCATTCCAATTCCTAATCTCCACTCAGGTTCAGCATTGTGGAAACACACGTTCTTTCAGCCTTCCTATCTCTCTGGGATTCTAATTGCCCAATTGAGGTAAATGTTAATGACTTTTCTTGATGGCTTTTAATTTTCTGGTTTAGACTAACATCCAGCAGGTCTCCAAGCCAGTGCCACAGCCCAGCCATGTTTTGTCACCACCCCTAAGTTTAGGATGTACGTCCGCGGCCTATGGGCTTCCAGCTGGAGCTCATGCTCCCCCAGGGAGGCAGGGGCATGTCAGCGTGCTCCGGTGTGTGCAGAGAGCTGTCTGTCAAGAGTCCCCACATGGGGGCATGAACTCGGCCTCCTAGGTGGTGTCGGTGGGATCACAGATGACCCTCAAGTATGATGAATAATAGTCTGGATTTATCACACCCAACTGTGAAAGGTAGTACTGTTTCCACAGTCTAAGAGAAATAAAGAGCTATTCCATGGAACTCTATCAAGATCAGGTATCACTCTTATGTAAAAATTATTATCTCTGTTTGTTGTGCCAACTAAGGTTTTATTAGGTTGTCCACACACTCAACCACCTTAAATATTTCTACTAATTACAAGTTAAAATTTGTAGTTTCAAATTAAATTATCTATATTTTGAAATGGATAGGTTTAACTGAATAATTGGTAAATATTCAATCAAGTCTACACTAGGTAGACACAAGAGATATGTGCTTTATGTGGTTTTATGGGTCTGTGGTTGTGCCTTGGCTAGAGCTGAAGAATGCTTCCTGGCAGCCAAGATGAAAAGGAAAACACATGTTATATGGCTGTTATCATTTGATATAAGGAAGAGTTCTAACTCACTGGAAGAGAAACACTTTCCTGGAACTCTACCTCAAGGTTGAATTTGTCACAAAGGTCCACATCCAGAGGGTATTTGAGCAACATCACAGATAATATCTCAAATAGCAACAAAAAAATCAGAAACATATTTATGTGGGTTATTCTTAGTACATACTTTGCCGCCTGCCTGAGCAATCCCAAATATGGCCAAGGAACAACACAAGCATCTCTATGAGAGTATGTTGTCTAGATATAGAGTTTTTTAAAGTTATAACCTAATATAGGTAGGGCTTTGAAGACCTAGAAAAGTAAAAATGTAGCATGTCTCATAGAATATGTTTCTGCAAACAGAAATAGTTTCATAGTTTCGAGCAGGTTTAGGCAGAGGCCGCTGAGCTGCCAGTTCTTGTTCCACTCAATGCCAAGGTGCCACAGAGTGAGGAGTCTGTGTGGCTGCCTGGGTACAAAGACTCCTCTGCCTTCGATATGGCAGGTGTGGATTGTCAGGCTGGCATTTTGTGAGAAAACTTAAACAGCTCGAGTTACTTTTCTTTTTTCCTCCAGAAATGGGTTGCAAATATTCATTCATTCATTCATTCAAAAAATTTGGTATTGTTGATGAAGTACTATACACAGGCACTGAGAAAACTGAATTGGAATACATTCTTATATCCCTTACATTTAAGGGGGGAAATTAAAGAAATAATAATAAAAAAAAAACTTTTAGCTAATCCATGCATCTTGAATACCTTTAAATTCAACATGTAGAGCTCATTTATAGCATTTATTATGACAGTAAACAGGCCACTACTTTAACCAATAAAAACTCATTTTGTGACATGCATGTGCTAATTAGGAAAGCCCCAGGTGTTGGTGGCATTTCTTGTAGACCTCTAGCTCATCATCTTGGATTGTGGATTGTTTTGTTTTGTTTTGTTTTTAATTTCATCATATTATGGGGGTACAAATGTTTA